CTTATCCGTCAAATCTGGACCAGGAGGAGGCAAGCGTAGGATAACGACGACGACGTCCCCGCCTATTCCGCAGGCCTGGTCAGACTGAGATCGCGAAGGGCAGCTCGAGCTGCATCACGCTGGACCTGCAAGCGGGAAGACACCTCGGGAGGAAGGAGGCGGAGGTGTGGTAGATGTGGACCGCGAGATCAACTTCCTCAAGGATGGGGACGGTGCAGTAGCCAGGGATCTCGAGACGATCCAAGGTTCAAGGGGTCAAGGCAAAGGACGGAGGAGGAGGAGGAGGAGGAGGAGGAGGAGGAGGAGGAGGAGGAGGAGGGAGGAGGAGGGCGGAGGAGAAGGGCGGCGCGACTAGATGTGGGCTCCGCCCACCGCCGGGCCACCAGGAGCCGGCCAGCAGACACGCACCGACGGCCACTCGGGAGGCGTGCGTGGCCGCCTGCCGAAGCACGGGGCGGTCGTGGCCGCCGTGCAAAGGGGCGCCCGCGGGTGCCCAGCCAGGCGGGCCCCACGTCGCCTGCCCCGCTCGGAGCATGCAGCAACGAGATGCGGCCGCCACCGCGCCGCCATCCCGGCCCCGCGCTGGGCCTCCCGCTCCGGGCGCCCCGGAGCTCCCGCTCGGGGAGGCAGGGGCTCCGCGGGGTCCGAGGGCCACGCCTGGAGCCGGGGCGAACGCGTGAGCGCGCGCCCCGGGCATCTGCTGCCCGCTGCCTCCAGCGCCCCGAGGGCGACGGACGAGCCTCCCGATGCGCTCTGCGATCGGACCGAGGCGCGGCGCAGCACGGGCCGGCGATAGACCGAAGAGTCGGCACGGACCTCGCTGCGGGAGGGGCAGGAGCCTGCACAAAAGGCTTGCGGTTCCCTCATCAGCGAGGCAAAGGCAGTCCGCACCAGCGTGCGGCTCATCGGGGCAAAGGAAAGGCAAGTTGTCTGGACCCATTCCAGGCCCCAAAAGAGGCCCCAGAGAGCCTCAAGACGGCTCCACGAGCTCCCGACATCGCAGGGCTCCACAAGCGGCACAAGATGACCACGAGAGCCCCAGGACGACTCCGAAAGCAGACACCGCCCCCCAAACGATTACCCCCGAAGATACTCAAGGCCGACTTTTGGGTCGGCGGCAGAGGCGGCCGCCTTAGGATTGTCCGGCGTGCAGGGAGACTGCATAAACGTGCTCCCTCTGAGGTCGGCACAGATCTTTTGGATCGGCACCGACCCCCCTCCTGCACGGCTTCCCCCGGGGCCGTAGGCGACCCGAGGAGGAGGAGGAGGAGGAGGAGGAGGAGGAGGAGGAGGAGGAGGAGGAGGAGGTGGAGGTGGAGGTGGAGGAGGGGCCGGGTATGGGGAGGAGGAGAAGGAGGAGGAGGAGGAGGTGGAGGAGGAGGACGAGGAGGAGAGGAGGAGGTGGAGGAGGAGGACGAGGAGGAGGAGGAGGAGGAGGAGAAGGACGAGGAGGAGGAGAAGGACGAGGAGGAGGAGGAGGAGGAGGAGGAGGAGAGGAGCGACGACGCGCTAGGAGGAGGAGGAGGAGGAGGAGGAGGAGGAGGAGGAGGAGGAGGGAGGAGGAGGAGGAGGAGGAGGAGGGAGGAGGAGGAGGAGGAGGAGGGAGGAGGACGGGTCGCCTGAGCCCTTCGGAGAAGCCCTCCACCCACTCCGTGGCGCGCAGAGCGCGCCAGGGGCGCCGCTGCGAGGCGGCGCCCAGCGCCCATGGCCGAGAGGACCGCGCGGAACTCCCGGAGCCCGCGCTTCTGCCGCTCCCGGGCCCCCGGCGCCGCGACCGCTCTGCCACGTCGACCCCCAGACCCAGACATGATCGCGTGATTCAAAAATTCAGGATGACGCGAAGCGCCGTCCGTCGGGACTAGGAAGAGGAGGGAGGAGGAGGAGGAGGAGGAGGAGGAGGAGGAGGAGGAGGATGAGGAGGAGGAGGAAGATGGGCCCGAGCAAATTCAAACATTCAGGATGACGCGAAGCCTCCCTGACCCGAGGCTTGGTCTGGACCTTTGTTCTCCGAGGAGGCAGGCCAGCGCGGGCCGTGGCGTCCCAGACCTCCGACGTCGTGATGGTTTCAAAACGTCGAGCCCGAGACGTCTGGACCCCTTCCCCTCCTCTTCCCTCCTCCTCGTCCACCTCCTCCCCCTCCTCCCTCCTCCTCCTCCTCCTCCCTCCTCCTCCTCCTCCTCCTCCTCCTCCTCGTCCTTCCCCGGGACCTGTTTCTCATCGCATCGCATCGTCAGCGGCACTAGAGCTGTCTGACCTATCACGGGGCGCCTTCACACCTCGTGGCAAGCATCTGGACGCCTGCTGTTGAAAGCTGTTGCCGAAAAAAGTTGGGTTCAATCCATGAGTTGACGCTCTGGCCCAGGGGCTCTGCAGCAACACTCAAGATGCCGCGTGGCCGGCGCCCTCGTCCCCCGAGCGGCTCGCGGCCTGCCTCGGTGGGAAAAGGCCTCAAGGCCCCCGCACCATCATTTCAAGAATTGACCCTTTGGTGGTGCACTCGAAACCGTCCTTTCTCATCCTGAGTCGTTTTTTGACGGTCTCGAGGCCCAGCGAGGGCCCCCAGAGGCCGAGAATGACGAAGACTTCCATCGTGATTTACAAGCGCGCTCCACAACTCGTAAAGTAACTACTCGCAAATGGCCTGGATCCGACGAGGGGGATCTATTATCCAGTACAACGAGGCGAACATGTGTTTTTGTTTCTGACTTTTGCGAATAAGCACTTTACGAGTAGTGGAACGCGCTAGGTTAAACAAAAGCATCGCGTCATGGCAGGATCGGCCTCCAGGGGCCCCATGCCGGGATCACGGCAGACCCCTCACACGGTCTGTGGCCCCACCAGGGAGCTCCACACAAGGCCCCAGCGGCACAATTCGCATGCGTCTTTCCCCTCCCATGACGGCACACTGCTCCCACCGTTCGTGGCCGCATGGGGAGCTCCACCCAATGCCCCACCCCGAGGGCGTCGAAATACGTGCTTTGCCAGTTTCGTGCCAAATCCTGGTACGTTGGTGGATATCTTCCCCCGATGCTCAACTTCTAGCCTTAGCCGCCCGGATACGCAACACGCATCCCGTAGCGTGTCGACACGGAGCTCGTCACGTAGACTGAACACGTACGTTTGGCGCGATACGGTCCTCAAAACGTGGACCATCACGCTGGGCAGGCCAGAACGTGAGCCAACATGTGGAGCCAACACGCACCGTATTCAGGATCGACATGTTGAACACGGCACGTGGTGCGTTTCAACACGGGCGTGTCGGGGCAGCTGAGGTCCCGGCACTTGGAAAAAAACGGCATAAACATAAACAGTTTGCGCTCCGCGCGGATTTCCTCGATCTGCGCTGGACCGCGCCAGGGACGGCGCCGGAGGCGCCGCAGGGGGGGCCCCAGCGCGGATCCAAAAAATCCGCGCGGAGCGCCAAAAAGTTTACGTGTATGGAGTTTGTTTTTCTTCGAGGTACGTTGGTGGATATGTGGGTATCCGTCGGTCGGAAGAAATTTGTAGAAATATGAAGTAGGACGGCGTTGGAAGCAGGTTGAATCTCTGGCCGCCCCCTGAAACGGAGGGAATAAGGGGAGCCACTCGATCCTCGAAGTAGGAGGGCTCTTTTCTTCGATGGACGGGGTCGAGATGTCTGGGGGTCCACTCCGCGGGAAGCTCACGAGAGCCTGGGGGCTCTTCTGGGCACCGCCCCTCCCCTCGGAGGCAGGAGGGGGGCGAGGCCTGCCGAGGGGAGGAGGACGAGAGCCGGAGGAGAGAGGCAGCATGGCCGAGGGGCGGCGGGGCTCGAGGCCGGGATGTCTTCGGGTGCGTGCTCGTGGGTCCACGGCGGTCCTTCGGCCTCGGGCTCCCCGAGAGATAGCCCGGAAGAGTTCCAATACCAGCTTCTGATGCCCCTCGAGCCCCTCGAGGTCCGAGGGAGGAGGGTCGTGTGGCCAGTTCCAAGCCACGGCGAGCCTCGGCTTCGAAGGGGTTCGCCGGCCCGGATCTGAGGAGCGGCCCGGGAAGCAAGGCCCCGCCTCCTGAGCCCGAAGTAGTCCGCATCATGTCAGCGGCTTGACTGCAAGGAGGCGGGGGAGAAAAGTGGGGAAGGAGGTGGAGACGCACGGAAGGGGTTGATCGGCGGATTCGCTTCCCAGCCCCAGGCTGCGCTGGGCCCGAGCGAGGGGCCGCCGTCTGGAATTCCTCCCCGCACGCACGCACACCGCGCCGCAAGCGAGGCGCCGCTGTGACCAACTCTTGCGACGAATGGCACGGGCAGCCGTTTTCGATGGCAACTCACGGGAGCCTCCCGTGCAATCTCGCTGGCTCTGGCGGATCGACGCTGACTGACGCTGATCGACGCTAATCGGCGCTAGTCGACCCTAGATCGACACTAAATCAGCACGTTCACATCGAATATCACACGCTAGCGTACTCTAGAAACTGAATTACGAGGATATACATCCCCTGATTTGCTACCTAGCCGTTGCTGCTGGATGCCCGCCTCACCCTCTCAGGCTGTTTCTCTCAGATCGGAGTGGGACTGTGTGCGCGGAAACCTGCAACCACCAAGACCTCGTCGATCATGATGGGTTATGCACAGGTCGTTCAGAACGCCCTCCCCAACCCCGCGCCCTCGTCTGTCGTCCGTCATCCTCGTCGTCGTTTCGTGTCGTGCCTCTGTTTATCTGCCGCTGGGTTCATCGTTCGCTGGTTAAAACTACACACGTCGTTGCAACACGTCTCATCTCTATGGATGTGCCCCCTCGTCTCCAGCCCGCTCACCTTCTTGTCCTCGCCACTTTCTCCTTCTTGCTCCTCCTCCTCCTCCTCCTCTTCCTCCTCCTCCTCACCCCGCCGCTCTGTGGGACCCAAATTGACAACGCCTGCATGCACGCTGACACAGGATCACGTGTCGCCGCTGCGATGGCTGGCGAGCAACATCACTAGGCAAACTCCGCCTCCGTCCCGCGAAGCCCCTCTGAACCCCCACCCGCCCCCAAGGGTGATGTCTCCTCTGGTGGCGCAGCCGTGGACGCATCCTCTGGAGTGCTCAACTCGGCGGCGCTCGGCGGCACCTCGCGTGGTGCAGGGCAACTGGCGAGGCCACTCTCGAAAAGGCAACGACCGAAGAGATAGCAAGAAAAGAACGTGCAGAGGGAGAGAGAGAGAGAGAGAGAGAGAATCAAAACAAAGAAAGACATGGCAAGCACGCAGACATTGAAGAGGCCGCCAGGCAAGCAGGCCCAGAGGGCATCGCAGGCGAAGCCCGCGGGCGGACACGCAGGCCAACACACGCCTGCGCACACGTGTAGGCCCACCTCCTTCTCCTGAGCGCACGCTCACGCAGATCGGCACACGGAACTGGCGGGAGGACCCCAGCGGACATGCGGTGCCCCAAAGGCGAGCTGCTGAACGACCTCGGAGGCCCGAGGAGCACGCGCCGGAGGAGGGCGAGGGGGAGGACGAGCAGGACGACCGGGAGGAGGAGCAGGAGCAGGAGGAGGGCGAGGAGGAGGAAGACGAGCAGGGCGCAGTGGAGCAGAAGGGGGAGTCGAGCGAGGAGTCGCCGCACGGAGTCCTGGGGGGGGGGGGGCCCGCGCGTGGAAGAACAGAGGGGAGCCTCGACGCCGCTGCTGCCCGGACTGCTCCCGCGGCGCGCTCGGCCCGGGATCCCGAGCGAGGCGCTCGGCCGCGCGACGAGCCCCCCTGCGGCCCCCCGGGCTGCCCGCGGAGGGCGAAAAAGCTGAAAAGTGGCCATCCGACGTACCGACATTTCGCCTCTTACTCGTCCTAACGCGACCGCTAAGGTGCAGCGTAGAGCGTCACCGTAATTCCCCTTGCGGGAGTGTTATGCAGCCAGGACTCGACAGCCCTTCGAAGTCTTACCGAGGGAACTGCCAATGCCTGCGCAGAGTCGTGCACGCTGCCCGCCTCGCCCCAAACCCTCACCTCCCCCCCACCTCCAGCACAGGCGAGCGTGCGGCCCGTTCGCAGGGAGCCCTGCACTACCAGTCAGTAGTTTTCCGATGAAACCAAGGGTTGCGGCACCACTGGCACTGTGTT